TGCTAGGCTAGGAGAGCTAAAATGGCAATTTTGAGCTTCTTTTTATGTAGCTCTCCTAAAATGAATACAAACTAGGTAGTACAACGACTATTACCCTAAATTAAGTCAGATGAGTTCCGAATGTCCTTTATTCAGGTACTACATCGAACGACCTCCCACGATAAGTGCGGCCGTTAAAAACGGTACAGCGCCTCATTTCGTGTCGAAACCTGCAGCAGCCAACCTCTTGGTGAGAGTAGACGAGAATGCTGGGAAGAAATCACCGATCAACGAGAGCAACGGAACCGTAATTCTCAAGGTTGACGAAATTGCGGAAGCCAAGGACCACGATGAAGCTCATCGTGGCTCGAATTCCATAAAGCGATCACATCGGTGAGTCTGCTCCAGTTTCTAGTATGGAAACGACAGGGCGCGGGGCATAACAGTCATGTTCGCTGTGGACGCTGGAGTGTTTCAAGAGGCTGATTTGGCGCGGCACCAGCCTTTCTCCACTAATTGTGGAAACTAGCAGGTGACCACAATTGGTGGAGGGGAAGCTGGCACCGTGCCAAACCCAGCCCTGCCGACACGCCCCTAGCGTCCGCACAGAAAGACTGCATGTAACGCGGTTCCCATCACGTCGCCGCAACAAGGATCCCTAGAAATACAAATGCCATTTCTGCTAAACACCACGAAGAGTAACAAGCATATCCGCAAGAAGGGAAATCCCCGTCCCCGTGTCTTCTGTAAACGCAGATTCTAATCCTAATGACCCCCCCCGCACTCCCGAATTCTGATGATTAATTCCAATTAGAGCTAAGAAGTCGTCATCTTTCGTAGGTAAAATAATTGTTAATGAAATAATGGTGCTGTTCTATTGAAAAAAAATAGATCTTTCTACCCGTTGTCCTGATATTACCCTCCTGGGACTGATATAGACGTATCTTTCTTTGGACTGACACTCCCGCACAAATCACTCTCCAAGTGCCCATTACAGCTCTGTCTCCTCAGTTTTGAATGTGGCGATTTAATCCGAAACTCAGCCCAAATTAGCCCAAATGCGTATTTCAGGAGGCTAAGATATAAAACAATCAAGATTGTACCTATCACGCCAAGAATAATGGGGAGGCAAAATAATAAGAGTACAGCATCGTTTGGGGCATCCCATCGGGAGGTCGTACATGGTCGCTGGGCAAGAGGTGGGGTGGGGGGTTATAGCTGGCCTTGAGAGAAATTTTTCCGGACCGCGAAAAAAATTTCCCTGGTTGTTGATTTTCCTGTTTCACGTGCTATGTATAGACCCTTGCCCTTTGTTATTATTATATAACAAAACTACCATACAACTACTTGTGATAGTTCAATTTCTCTCTTCTCCCCCCCCCCTCCTTCCCCGCCAATTATCAGGTTTGTTGAGAAAATTTCAGATGAGTTTCAGTGAAGACGGTAGGGAGTTCTAAGAATTTGGTAAGAGGCAGCTAGCATAAGAAATGGCGAGTACTGGAAACAGAAATTGGAGAGGAGGGGGTCGTACTGACACCACTATTCCTTTCGTCCTAATGCCGTATCCTGATCTGAAGCTTTTGTGCCTCAAACTCAGTTAGAGAGAAGGAATGGCAGCGCAGTTCGGCTTGGTGGGGCAACAAATGGTATTGAGTGAAGCCTGTACTGGCACCTCGTCAAGACCTGTAAATTCTTGTAAGAAAGTGGCTCAATTGTACCATTTCTCTATCGCCAGAGTTTACAGGTCTCACCACTATGAGACCTATTACTCAGGTAGAACTCCGAAGAATTTATGCCGAAAGTTCTGGGTTACGACTTTTTCCATGCTGATCACATGGGCGTGGTCAGCCCCACCACCGCTCGCCCCCATTGAGGTTTAGGTTACCGGAGGTGCGTACCAATGAAGGGCGGCGTACACAGGAAGGACTGACTCCGCCTACACGCTAACATGGATGGCCCCCGGCGGTATGCTGGAACTAACCATTGAAAATGGGATACGAAGTTGAATTGGGTTGATCTAGGTAAGAAGTACTTGGATCCAAAATACGCTACAAATGTAGAGTTATAGAACTAGCTGATTGCTTTTACCAAAAAATCAAGCATTGTTTTCGTACATGAAAAATTCCGTTAAAGGGACCATTCAGACCGTGTAAAATCAAGCTTTCACCGGATTTGGCCAAGGCAGCACATGCTGAAGCAGTGCAGACGTGAGTATTCGATTCATCAGATTCCCTTCTTCCAACAAGCACTCACCCTTGCAGGGAACATACACTAGACAACTTCTTAGAAGATCTATCCAGGATACGTAATGGAGACGACGCAGTGATTTATGAGGAGTTCCAGGTGAGAAATGGTTGGCAAATGATTACAGTAGCTCATAGCTCTAATAATCCTTAGAAACTCCTATCAGATTCTTGAAGCATGGGATTCGACCAGCCGAACGGGATTGCTTGACTGCTGAAAAAGGCGCGAACACGAACCATATCGTTAGACATTTGCGAGTAGGTTTACTTTGCGTTACAGTTTAGCACAAACGCCCACGCAAATGCTTCAGATGACAGCACTCGAGTGATACTTCATGGTCCGAACGACTATATCAATGCCAGCTTAATCGATGTAAGCTCTTTAACGTGCTTTTCTTCACTTTCTGATGAGCTGAGAGGGGAGGACTACTTTGCTCGGTTTTCCATCTGCGGAGATGGTCAAAAACAACGTGATTTGCCGCATCAGTAGTGCGCGTTCAGTCCAGCTATTTCCTGCAAACAGGAGGGGGTTTGAGGGGCGTTGACTTGGAGCGTTGCCAGGGCGGTCTCTCTCGACCAATTGTTGCAGAAACTAAGGATACCATCAAATTGATGAAATCACACCCTTCGGCGGCCCTCTCTTTCGTATTGGATAACGGCTTCAAAGTATGCTGACTCGAACACCGCCAAAACAAAGCTCTCCGGATATGGAACTTTTCGCTCAAAACTGATCGGAAAGCTGGCCCGTTCTTCAAGGCTTTTCTGGCCTCGCTGTCAAAAGAGGAGGTGGAACACAGTTTCTGCTGTCGCTAGGTTCCGGCGTGATGAGATGTTCCACTTGAGTGCCGCCATTCCGTTCCAAAAACCTGAGCAAGTTTGAAATCCTGCCCATTAAGAATAGTGAAATTTGCCATAAGTATTTCAAACTGAGCAAGAAGTTCGCATTATCTTTTATATTCATGTCGGTCAATTGAGGAACAAAAGAGAAGCGGAACCGTTTCCCAATCCGGCGCTTTCAAGTGTGACGAGTCTTGAATTGTTTTCAGGGTTATCGAAACGCTGGTCAATTCATAGCTACACAGGGACCTATTGGCCCTGAAGAAACCGGCGACGGACGAAAAGAGAGCACAGTAAGTGGATGATTCTCTTTTCATTGGAGGGGATGGCGCATTTATGACAGCTACTGCTTTGCGCCGTAATTCATGTCCCCAAGTCAGCAAAATATACTGGGGCCCTGGGGCAAGAGGTCTTACTCCAGGAGCGACTTGAACGCCCACATGCACGCTGCGGGCGAGCAGCGCCAATCGCGTTCCCACCAGAACGCTCTTAAAATATTCTCGGCTGTTGATTATTCATGCTGATTCCTATTACCCTCACCCCCTTGTCTCCCTGGTCACGACGCCTGGCAAGTGCCTATTCTTATAGTTGGTCGGAAGTGTTTGCCCTCGACGGAAAATTCACTGAGGTAACAGATAGACAGTGAAACAGGATCGCACCGAAAAAAGGAATTCTGGAGGGGGGAGGGGGGGGGGGGGTGGCTGCGTCGGTATCCACAGCAAATTCTACCTAATACGAGGACCCCTGGTGTGTTCGCCGCAAAAATTGTATCATGTCGAACCTTCTCTTCTAACAACACATAATCCTGCTCAGTAACTCATCATGACCATCATGTCCAGCCTCTTCCAATCTCTACTTTCAGGTGGACGACTTTTGGCGCATGATCTGGGAGAAGAATGTCCAATGTATACTAATGCTTACTGATTGTGTGGAAAATATGAGAGTAAGTTAACTAAAGGCTTTCCGTGATAATCGGATGGGCGGGGTCACATGACCAAACCTTTCATTGCCAGATGACGTGACCGCACACAAGGCTGCGTACATATTTTGAGGCACGACGTCCACCAGCGTTTGGGAGCGGTCCGCAGCGTCAGATAGGAAGATGAACATATTTCTAGCTCTAGCAGCCGTCCTTTCAGCGTACTACCAAGCATAGGCCCAGCACCTACGACGGCTCTAGAATAGTATAGGGTATCAATCGGGATCTGTCAGCATGCACCAGCGTCTACCAGCGTCCGGGAGAGGAGAGTATGGCGCGGTAGAAGGGTAGCAGACAGCTGGTAGAGTACGGGGAGATAGGAGGGTGTCAGACTGCCGTTTCGCGGACGCTGCTGCACGCTGGCAGAAGCTGGAGGGCGCTGGCAGACGCTAGATCGATATGTACACTTTTCTCGCTGACGGTGCCGGAGGCTTTGATCGCTGGTGGATCTACCGCAAAGTATGGACGCAGTCTCAGGAAATTACTCACCTACCCGCTACCACAAATTGCAATAGTACCCCTTTATCAATGGTGCGCCCCTACCTCGGAAACGATAAGGGGGTGTGCTCATGAGGAAATCACAATTAGTTGTTAGTCTCCTCCCATCTGATTACCGCGGAAGGTGTCTTGAGCACAACACTTGACTCCATATTTCGAGCATTTCAAGCAGATTAGTGTATTTCAGCAGCGATGTACGAAGTACTGGCCTCCTTTGGGCGAGGCACATCAGTATGGTGATGTGGAAGTGGATCTGATCTCAGAATCTGAAGACCCGATCTGTCTTCACAGGGAGTTCGACATCAAGAGGAAAGGCGAAAAAAGACAGGTGCCTACCCCTTCGCTCGTTCCTTTTGACTTTCCCAGACTATTTTGTGAGTAGCGTCGAAGGAAAAAGACTTTCCCAACGTTTGGATGAACCTTTCCCATAGGGTAAGGTTTTCACCCCTTTCCTCTTTATCCTTGTGTTTCACAAGCAGAGATAAGACATCTCGCCACAATTTCCGCCGCCCGGGATCTGGAACATTGACGGGATTTGACCGTAATTCAATTCCGGTTCACATTGCATCAAACAATTTGACCCAAATGATTTCATCTGCAACTCTGACCCACAATCTTTTCAGGTCTCACAATATCATTTCCTGAATTGGCGTGATTCTAAAGGACCAGAAAGTACCACGCATCTGCTTGATTTCATTGAACGGGTCTGGAACAAACAATTCCGAAAACCAATCGTCGTCCATTGTAGGTGAGGTGACTCTTTCAGAATTGAAACTTTCAGAACTGTGGTATTCAATATGGAGCACTTTGAGTGCTACATAAGAAAAGAGCCATCAAATGGGTGCTGAGTTATGAGGAAAACCCCCGGCAGTCTAATGAATACAAGTAAGGTACCCTAAAGAACACAAGTGCAAGTTCGAGCCGCCCCCCTGCACATGACGCATTGTCAGCACCTTCGCCAAACATTCTGGCGCTGAACGAACACGACTGTTTACCCATTTTCAAAGGGTAAAAACTACCGTGGTGGACAAATCTGAGAGTAATCGAGTCCAAATTACGCAAGGTGAAGTAAGAAGTTGTTATCAGGACACGCTCTCCGCTGGTAAATTTCCGGTGGAGAAGGTCGAATTTGGATCGCTGGAAAGGGGGAGGGGAAGGGGCCGAATCTGGTTCGTAAAATTTTTGTTCACATGTTGGTTTTTCTGTTTGCGCGCGCTCTCCCACTCGTTGACAACCCCTACCACCCGCCCGCATTGGAGATGTCGTTTTTTTCCTTAGAATTTTTCCCCCGTGTGCAAGATTCAAATAAATAAATAAATAAATAAATAAGGCACGGTTTCTTCCAAAAAAGTGCCCCTCGCTTGGGGGTGCATTTTTTTCGGAAGGAACTGTAGGATTTCTTGGAAGAATTTGGGGGAGGTATGTTGCATTTTGCCGAAATTTTTCCCAGCGACGGGGTGTGCTCTGGCTGCAAGTGGAGGAAACGAAACCTGTCAGAAAAGGATAGACTTTTCCCCCATTTAATAAGCTTCCTGTCAAGTGATGAAGCTCAAGTGAGGCTTGAAATTTGGGCCTTCATGTATGGGGGTCTCAAAACAAAGTGAAGACCCAACAAAGCATAGTCCACCGCTGCGCGGCCCTCCTCGTCTACCTTCGCCTCGGAAGACCCGGCAAATCATCTAGAATCAATTTTAAGGCAATAGTGGAATTCGAGCAGCGGCGCAGTTTATCGACGGGGGGGGGGGCATTTTGCTTTCCATAGATGTGTCGACCCATCTAGGTAGCGTTTTCTTGAGTTGACACGTTTTGGGATGGTGGCTAGACGATCCTGCTCCAGCTTTACAAGCGTTCACAAGTTTTACCAAGTGAGATTTGCAAACCGGAGCAAGGGAAGCAGTGATAGTACAAAATGCCCCCCGTCGATAAACAGCGCCGCGCACCTTCAAAAATGCTGCAAAGATTCCTAAAATAAGTGTCCAGGTTCGACTCTCGATGAATCTTGGCATACTTTGAATTCCTATAGGGTATTGCTTTAGCCGTAACCAAGATGGTATAAAAGTTTATTGGCT